CTTTCCTTGTGTCTTTGGTGTTCTTCATTTTCCTTTACTCCAGGTGGTTGGGACCAATTGATGCATCTTAGATGGCTGCTTGCAAGCTTTTAAGACCTCAGATACCACTCACTGAAGTAGGATGCAGAACATTTTCTTAATAAGAAGCTACATTTTCTTAACTTCATGAATGAGCTTCTGCAGAGAAATGGGGCCAGAGTCATAACAGGTCTTTGCCACTTCGTTCAGCTCCTCCCAAGTAGAAAGGGGAGCTTAACCCAAAGTGCGTTCTTGTGCATTAGCCCAAAGAAAGGGAAAGAAATTCCAAGAATTTGCTCTGAATACCCTGTGCCTAGTACACAATTATCTTTATAAATTGATTGGCCTTTCTGACTGTGTGAAATCAGACAAATAAAAAAATATTAATGCATGTTCCCTCTTTTGTTCTTTGCTTAGGGACAATGGAAGCCTCGGATCATTGACAATCCTAATTACCAAGGGGAGTGGATTCATCCAGAAATAGACAACCCTAAATATAAGCCTGACCCCACCATTTGTCACGATTATAACATCAGTGTTCTTGGCCTGGACCTTTGGCAGGTAAAGCTTTCCAGGCTCAGACCCATTGCATCAACAGTCTCTCTAAAGTTTTTACAAAGTGGAAATAACCCCAGGTTGGAAATCACAAGACTTGAATAAGTCTTGATCTTTCTAAGCCTCAAACTACTCGTCTTTGAAATGGGGCTGATTATATTCATCCTAATAATTCTAATAGCTAAAATTTACTTAATCCCTACGAGATACCAAGTATTGTATTAGAGACTTTGCCTATTCTATTTAATCCTCACTATGAAATCTCCCAATGCAAAAACCAACACTCAGAAAAGTCAAATAGTTTGCCTGAAGACACACATCTGGTAAGCAGAAAATCTGGGATTTGAATGCGGGTCTTTCTGGCTCTGGGTTCAGGGTTTTAATACTTTACACTGCCTCTGCTGGGGATAAAGGAGGATCAGAGTTGTGGTAAACTTTTGAAACATTCCCTGGACAGATGTTGGGAAGAGCCTAGCCTCCCTCTCTCTCTGCCTATAATTTCTCCTGGCTGTGATTGGAAGCAAAAAGGCTCAGATACTCAGTCTTTTGGAGAGTTGTCCTCTCCCTATCTTTTTCTTCCCTGGGATCTGTTACTGAAGATGGGGGAGACTCAAGCACAGGCCACAGAATGAAGGCCTTGGTCCACGATCCCTACCTGGAGGCTTAAAAATGGCAGTCTTTATAGTCCTGGGAGAAGAATTCCCTTGAAGAGGAAGGAAACTGAACTTTTGTTGAACACTGGCCTGGGCTCCGTGTTTACCTGTCCTATCTCCTTGAATTCTCACAGCTCTGTAAGTTAGATATTATTATCCCTTACTATTACCCATGTTTTACATTTGAGGGAGCACCTGGGGGGTATAAATTGTTAACACACTCAGCTGCTAACCCACTGCTAACCGAAAGGTTGGAGGTTCACCCAGAGGGACCTTGGAAGAAAGGCCTGGTGATCTACTTCCAGAAAATCAGCCATTGAAAACCCTATGGAACATAGTAGAACTAAGACACATATAGGGTTGCCACAAGTTGGAATCGACTTGATAACAACTTCTTTGGTACAGGTTTTACCTTTGAAAGAATTGAGACTCAGAAATATCAAATGACCTGCCCAAGAGCACATAGCTAGGGCATGGTAGAGACACAGTTCAAATACAGGTCTGTCAGCCTCTAAAACGCTTGCTTTAATGCCTACACTCACTATATGGTAGAGCCTCTGAAACTAGAGCCACTGGTCCTTGGATGTCTGGGAGTTCCTATGGCCATATGGAAATCTCTGTCTCTGACCAGAGCTGCAGTTTAGGGCCACCAGAGGTCTCTGGGACAAATACTCTTCTCCCACTTTCTTGGTTTCCTGGCACAAGGAGGCCTGCATAGAAGTGCAAGGAGCTGATGTATGTCAATTACCAGGTGCTTCGTAGGGTTCAGCAGAAAAAGACAGTTGAAGGAAGGGAGGGAGGACACATCTGAAGAATGTGCGTAAGTTTGCACTAGTTCCTGTAATTATGCTTTTTAAAAAAGTTGTCCCTTTTTAATACATACCAAGAACTTTTTACCGTTTATAAAAATATACAATCCTATTAATATGCCTAATCTGATTATTTCCTTAAAATGTATTGGTTTTTTGTTTTTGTGTTTTTCCACTCAAAACTTTAGGGTATTTGATTAGGGAGCATTGAATTTGTGTTAATAGTGGTGAAATCATTTGGAAAAGGATAGTGAGAATAGTTGCACCACTTAAAGAATGTAATCGATGTCAGTGAATTGCACATGTAGACATTGTTGAGATAGCATGTGTTTTGTTATGTATATTTTCACCACAACAAATTTTTTTTAAAAAAATGAAGGTAAACAGTTTAAGCTGTATCTTTGTTCATCTACAAAATCAACAAAATACTCTGCACTAATTGCTCTGGGTTCTATCAATTTCTCCAAGCAGGCAAGCCTTTCTATTTCAAGAATTTAAACCATGCCAGAGGACTGCTTCTCAACCTTTAAAGTGAGTATGAATCACCAGGGGGTCTTGTTAAAATGCAGGTTCTGATCCAGCAGGTCTGGATGAGACCTGAGAGTCTACATTTCTAACACTCCAGCATTATCTCTTTATCTTAATCTGGACACTGTTCTGCACCATGCTGACATCCTTTCCCTTGCAGGCATCCTTTCCTTCCAACTTCTAATTGGGTCTGGCACTCCGAACTCCCAGCTCTACTCCACCCTCCCCAGTCAGAGTCCCTGCACTTTGTTGGTAAAGCTAAGTGACTCTCAAGCCTTCCCTCAGACTGGTGATGGGCATGAATTCACCTACCTGCCTAGTCCCCATCTGGGTTTTTAGCCTTCAGATGCTGTGTGAGTTCAGGTGCCCTCCCTGTACCTGCTTGGTCCCAGCCTAGCAAACTGGTTAACTTTCCTACCTAGTCCTGACCCTTTCTGTTCTCTGTTCTGATACCTCCATACATGATCCCTTTACCTTTTTTCCCTTAGGCAGGAGTGACTGCATTCTCTGATCAGAAGAAAGGCTGGAAGGAGATGGCAGAGAACACAGAAATTCTTTCTCTTACCTTGGGACTCTATTTGATCTTTGGAGGAATGTTGCTGTTTTTGGGTGCTGTTGAGTTGATTTCAACTCACAGTGACCCCATAAGACAAAGTAGAACTGCCTCATAGGGTTGGTTTTGTTTTGTTTTTTTGGACCCATACAGTTTTCTAGGCTGTAATCTTTACAGGATTTACAGGAGGAGATCACCAGGTCTTTCTCCTGCGGAGCTGCTAGGTGGGTTCTTTTGGTTAGCAGCCAAGCGCTTAACCATTGTGCCACCAATAGTGACACAAAATGTAACAAGTATAGCCTTGCCATAATGCAAAGCACATTGACATCCTTTATATCCTATGGTCTGTACCACAGCCCTGTGAGGCCAGGAGGGCAAGACTTATCAGCTCCACGTTACCGATGAGGAAGCTGAGGGCTCAGAGAAGTGACTTGGCTTGTCAATGTCCCATAGCTAATAAGTTCTCAGACCTATACTGTTCATGATATGTAGCAGTTTAGGAAACCAGGTCACTTTTAGTGATGTAACTTTGTAAAAATTCCTTAGAGCTTTAGGGCTTTATAGTCTAACAAAGCTTTTTCTCATGTGTTTTCTCCCAACAAGTGTATGAAGAAAGCAGGGAAGTTATAGTTTCTTCCATTTTGCAGACGAACATATGGAGGCACAGAGGATGTAAGTAGACCAAGGTCACTCCAATAGTAAGTTTTAGGAAGCAGGACTGGCTTCCACGTGTCCTGATTCTTGATAGGAGGTGTTGTAGGGGAAGAACATCACAAAGTCTAGTAAAGCAAAAAGATAGTTTTATTAGGCACATTTTCAAAAGGGTAAAAGTGGGAAAACGGACAAGCACGCTGCCACAGCCATGTCTGCCCAATTCCAAAGAATATTACAGAATAGGCAAGAATGGGAAAACGGACAAGCATGCTGCCACAGCCACGTCTGCCCGAATCCAAAGAGCCATTACAGAGCCATCAGTATATATTAACATTGCAAACGGGCAAAACCATTGAAAGCTTCACCTTTTCAGATTGGCTAGAAACTGTGATCCTACATTTTGAATTGTCTTTCTTAACAATCATTGGTACAGGTTTCAGTAATGATAGTCAGGAGGGTCTTCATTGGTCCAGCAAATTTCTATTCACTAAATGCTAATAGAAAAAGATGAGAGTAGAAAGTCTTTCGTGTTCTGTTGATCGGCTTTATGTGAAAGTTTCCCTAAAAGATATTTTCCAAGATTATCTTAGCTATTGCCTTTACACCTCAGGGCCCAGTTGATGTGTCCTTGTGAGTCTTTGTGAGTCCAGCTCCAGCTGGGTCACATTCTCTATGCTCAAGGAAAGGGAATAAATGATTCTAATATTATTTCCTGAATCAGAGGCAGAGCCATGAGTAGAGTTTAAGGGGGGTGGGGTCAAAGGGACAGTGAAGAGAAGGGGAGGGGATTAGAAACATTTCTTGTGGGAGTAGAGAAAATGGGAGAGGCAACAAATGGGCAGTTCTCTAACCAAGACTGCTAACAATTCAAAAGAGAAGAAAATCCCAAAGGTAAGAAAGTATTTTAGAGTCGCGCAAGGAATGCATTAAAACTAATTTAAAAAAAAGAAAGAATGGCTCAGAGCAAAATAATCTCTATTCAAAGTGGCTATTTTGTCATTTGTCTTTCTGTTGGAGGCAGGGTTGGTAAGATGATGTGACCCAAATAAAAGACTTTCTTATTAAAAAACAAATGAAACTTTTTTTTGCAATGAAAGAATAAGGCAAGGGCTTTTCAAAGTCTAGGGGAGGGACACATGATAACTCATGCTGCAAACTTTCTCTTGGTCACACAACTGCCCCCATGCAATTCACTTGCTTATTTATTTATCAGACTACTAACGTTAAAAATTACAGAATGATTCTCCTTTTGAAACATATCCAGATACTAAAAAGTTATAATAACTATTACCATTTATTGAGTGACTATTATCTGCCAGTTACTGACGCTGTGCTTTACATATATTATCTCTAATTCTCAAGACAACACTGCAAAGGAGTTATTGTTTTCTCTATTTCATTTACGAGGTAATAGGCTCAGAGAGGTCGAGTAACTTGCCTAAGGTCACAGCTAGAATGTGGTTGAGCTGTTCTGTCTGACTCTAAGACTTGGGCTCTTTTATTTACTACATAACAACTTAAAAGCTGTGTGTGACCTTAAGCAATTTATCTACACCCTCTGAGACTCAGAAATTTCTGAATCTCTGTTCCTACATTCTGTTCCTTTATCATTAAATCAGCAAACACTGAAAATATTATATACAGCTGATTTAATCATCTTCTCCTTTAATTGTAAACACTGAGAATGTTATTTTTAAGAAAATAGAGAATATGATTCAGGACACAAATTATAGAGAATCTAAATTCTGTTTGTATTTCTCATAAAACCTCTTCTTTTCCCTATATGTTTAGTTTTTATGATATTAAAGTGAGAACCCTAAAAAGGCAATCTACAAGTGGTATCAGAAGTAGGCGCTCTCAATCTGAGTTGGGGCAAGAGCCACTGGGCACCAATTTGAAGCCTAGCAGAGTGATCAACATATCTTCACAACCCTTTTAAACAGTGTTCAGACGTTTGAGGAACACAGAACCTTGGAAACAGTAAATTAGCTTCTTTCTGGAGCAGATCACCTAGGGTGGTATAGCATTTTAGACCCTCTGTACTATTAATAAAGAGCCCTGGTGGCATAGTGGTTAAGCACTCTGCTGCTAACCAAAAGGTCAGCAGTTCAAACCCATCAGCCGCTCAGTGGGAGAAAGATGTGGCAGTCTGCTTCCATAAAGATTTCATCCTTGGAAACTCCATGGGGGCAGTTACATTCTGTCCTATAAGGTTGCTATGAGTCGGAATCGACTTGATGGCAGTGGGTTTGGTATTATTAATGTAGTCCTTGGGTGGTGCAAATGGTTAACATGCTCACCTGCTAAACAGGGCTTCAAACTGGTTCGAACTGGTTCTGGTTCAGTCATGGCCAACAAAGTGAAACCAGAGCAGACTCGATTTTTAAAATTTAGGAGATCTGGAACAGGAAAAAATATTGGTTGAAGCCCTGGAATGGGAGACTCGGAAGAGGCGTAGTGAGCCCTTTCAGGAGCCTGATGCATGAGATTGGATTATTCCCAGGACTGTGGAGAGTGATGCACATTCAAAGCAGTGCAGTTGGCCGCCATCTTTGAGTAGGGCACCACTGTTTCCCACTCTGAGCAAAATCCCACAGGCAAGAGATTTAGTTGCTATGCAATGCATATACTGCCCTTGTTTTCTAAAAGGGAGATTAAGTTTCTAGCAGGACTTCGATCTATAATTTGTCCCATTCCATTTACCATTCCAGATCACCTAAATTCTAAAACTTCATGTCTGTTCTGGTGTCGCTTCCTTGGCCACGATTGAAGTGGGAAGAACCAGTTTGAAGCCCTGCTACTAACTGAAAGGCTGGCAGTTTGAGTTCACCCACAGACACCTTGGAAGAAGGGCCTGGTGATCTACTTCCAAAAATTAGCCATTGAATATCCTATGGAACACAGTTCTACTCTGACATACATAGAGTCACCATGAGTCAGAATCAACTTGAAGGCACCTGGTAACTGGTTATTAACACCCTCTGTATTCCTTGGCCTCATCTCAATCTATTGATTAAAATCTCTGTGTCTGGGGCCTGGGAATCTGCATTTAACAAGGGTCCTCAGGTGATTCTTAAGCCCTTTAACATTTAGGTTCATAGTATACCAAATATTAATAGAATACATTAGTTCTAACAATTTCATTGTTTTCTTTTTAACAGGTAAAATCAGGCAGCATCTTTGACAATTTCCTTATTACAAATGATAAAGAGTTTGCTGAAGAAGTTGGAAACAAGACCTGGGGAATAAGAAAAGTAAGGTGCTCCCCTAACCTGACTTCTACATGTGACTCCTCAGTTAGCTGTGCACCGTTCTTTGCATCTTAGAAATCAGCTTTACAATCATTATCTCATTTGCTGGTCACATGACCCTACAAGGTAGGGGAAAGAACTCACTTTCTTTGGGCATCTACAACTGTGTACTCGCCTCTGAGCACTTTCCCAAAGTTAGCCCTTAAAACCCAGGAAGACAGATATTATTACTCTCATTTGTCAAATGCAGGGACTGAGATTCAGAAATTTCTGAATCTCAGAGGGTATATATAAATTGCCCAAGATCACACAGAGCCTTTAACTTGTGTTAGAATTTGAACCCAGAACTCATGCTATTTCTGTTGTATCACACTGCTTGCTCAGTGTGGTGATCCAGAGGGAGCCACTGAGCCCATTGCTGATATCGATGGCTTGGAGATAAAAGGAAGTTGCTAGCGTGGTTTACCAGCTCCCCTGCTCACCTACAAATATTTTGTGGGTGGGGTGATACTTGGGATGATGGCCTCATGATGGTGACACCCTCCAGTCCAGACTTTCCGGTTCTGCGGGAAGGTCTATTCAAGCAGGTTTGTGGTCAGTGCTTGATTACCCAATAGGCCAAGTAAATTTTGCTTAGTGCACTAGCAAAGAAAGCACAGCTACCAAAAAAAAATTTTTTTCTAAGTTTTGTTTTATTGTGGCAAAATAAATATAACAAAATATTTTCTGAGAGAACCTTGATAACTTGATATTTCCAAAGAAGTACTGAAGCAATCATCATGGAAAAAATATAAATTTATTAGACTATTACACTTCGTTTCTGTTTTTGTTTGTTTTTATTTTGGGGTTATCATCTAATACTGCTTCACTGAGGCAATATTGTTGTTGTTAGGTGCCACTGAGTTGATTTTAACTCATAGTGACCCCACGTAACAGAGTAGAACTGTGTCATAGGGTTTTCTTGGCTATAATCTTTACAGAGGCAGATCATCAGGTCTTTCCTCCACAGAGCCGCTGGGTGGGTTCAAACACCGCCAAACTTTTGGTAGCAGCCAAGTGCTTAACCTGTTGCGCCCCCAGGGCTCCTTTAAAGCAATATTACATATCAGTTAAAGGCATGAGTTTTGGTGCTGCACTGCTTAGTTTCAAATTCAGTTTCCATAACTTACCAGCTACATGGCCTTGGGCAAGCTACTTAACCTCTCTGAGCTTCAGTTTCCTCATCTATAAATTTAGGACAATGCTAGCAAGTATCATATAAGTGCCTCGCATATAGTAAGTACTCTGTATATGATATTATCATTAAACCATATACTCACTTGACAGATATTTGTTGAATGCCTGTTCAAAGCACTGTTTTAGTTGCTAGGGATATAGCAGTAAATAAAACAGAATTTCTGCCCTCGTGGAGCTTGTATTCAGTTAGGGGAGACTAACAGGAAACATATAAAGAAGTAAATATATTTATATGACATGATGAGATATGCTACGGAGAACAAAAGAGCAATAGAGAGGGCTGTGATCATGGGGGTTTGCTATTTTCTACAGCGGTAGTCAGGAGAGGCTTCATTGAGTAAGTACCATTTAAGAGACTTGGAGGAAGTAAGGGAGCAAGCCCAGCAGATACTTGTGAAGCAAAGCTTTCTAGGTAGCTAGAACAGCAAGTGCAAAGGCCCTGAAGTAGAATCATAACTCGCTTGTTCGAGAAAGAATAAGGAGGCCGGTGTAGCTAGAGCTGAGTGAGAGGGAGAGAGAATGGGAGTAGTTAGGGCCATATCCCTGAGAAAAATGGGAAGCCACTGGAGGGTTTTGAGCAGAGGAGTGATATGAGCTGGCTCACAGTTTTAAATATTCCTCTGATTGCTGTGTTACAAAAAGACTATAAGAAAAGAAAAAGACCATAGTGGAGCAATGACAGAAGCAGGAGGTAGCGGTGGAAGTAAAACAAAAAAAAGTGCTCAAATTCTAGATATATTTTGAAGGTAGAACACACAGGAGCTGCTAATGGATCAGGCAAGGAATATGAGTGAGAGTAAACAATGATAACACCAAGGTTTTTGACTCGAATGACTAGAAGGATGGAGTTACTGAGATGGAAAATACCAAGGGAGGAGCATATTTAGAGGGGTGGGTGGCAGAAATCAGAAACATAATTTTAAAATGTTAAGTACGATATGGTTATAGGAGGCAATCGGATATAAGTCTGGATAAGACATATAAATTTGGGAGTCACCACCCTACAGATAATACTGAAAGCCTCATGAAGTTTAGGGGATGAAATCTCCTAAGGAGTGAGTATGTATAGAAAGGCGATTAAAAAATGAGCTTGGGGCACCCCCAGTATTTAGAGATCAAGGAGATAAAGCAGAATGAGAAAAAAGACTGAAAAAGAGTAGACAGCAAGGCAGGAGGAAAACCAAGACAGAACATTATCCTGTAGTCCAAGTGAAGAAAGTATTCCAGGGGAAAAGGAGTGTTCAGTTGTGTCAAATGGTCAAGAAAAATGAGGACTGAAAACAGACCACTGAATTTAGTAACATGGAGTTCATTGGTGACCCTGGCAAGGGCAATTTCAGTGGGAAGGTATAGGCAAAGATGGGTCCAAGAAAGAACAGAAGGAGAAGAACTGGAGACAGCAAGTATAGACTCATCTTTTCAGGAGTTTTTCTGTAAAAGGGTGAAGAAAATGGGGTTGTATGTGAAGGAGAATGTTGGTCAAGTTCTTTTTTTTTCATATACAAGATATTACTGCCTACATGTATGCTAATGGGACTGATGCAGTAAAGAGAGAGAAATCAATTCAGGAGAGAAAGGAGAGAATTTCTGGAGCAATATCCTTGATAGGTAAAGTGGATGACATTTACACAACTAAAAATGCATGAACAACAGAAGATAAATTAGATAACTGGGACCTCCTAAAAATTAAATACTTATGCTGATGAAACAATTTTACCAAAACAGCAAAAAGAGAACCTACAGCCTGGGAAAAAATATTTGGCAATGACATATCTGATAAGCGTCTAATCTCTAAAATATATAGAAAACTTCAACAGCTCAACAACAACAAAAAGACAAACAATACAGTCAAAAAATGGGCAAAGGACATGAATAGACACTTCACCAAAGAGACATTTAGATGGCTAACAAACACATAAACAGATGCTTGTGATCATTAGCCATTAGAGAGATTCAAATAAGAACTACAATGAGATACCATCTCACCTCTGCAAAAATGGCACTGATCAAAAAAACAGAAAACAAATAATGGCGAGGTTGTGGAGAGATTGGAACACTTATACACTGCTGGTGGTATTGTAAAATGGTACAATCACTATGGAAAATGATACGGTGCTTCCTCAAAAAGCTAGAGATAGAAATACCTTATGATCTAGCAATCTCACTCCTAGGTATATATCCTAGAGCTAGAAGAGCAGTGACACAAATAGACACACGCACGCTTACATTCATTGTTATTATTCACAATAACAAAAAGATGGAAATAACCTAAGTGCCCATTGCGGATGAATGGATAAACAAATTGTGGTACATATATACAATGGAATACTACACAACTATAAAGAATAATGAGAAGTCCGCAAAACATCTTATAGCATGGATGAATCCGGAGGACATTATGCTGAATGAAATAAGTCACTCACAAAAGGACAAATATTGAATGGTCTCACTTTTATAAAAAGTCATGAATAAGTACACATACAGAAAGCAAGGTTCTTTGATGGTGTCTTAGTCACCCAGTGCTGCTCCAACAGAAATACCCCAAGTGGATGGTTTTAACAAAGAGAAGTTTATTTCCTTACAGTAAAGTAGGCTATAAGTCCAAATTCAGGGTGTCAGCTCCAGGGGAAGGCTTTCTGTCTCTCAGCCTTCTCATCAGTATCCCCCTGGACTAGGAGCTTCTCAGCGCAGGGACCTCGGTCCAAAGGACACGCTCTGCTCCCGGCACTGTTTTCTTGATGGTATGAGGTCCCCCAGTTCTCCACTTGCTTCCCTTTCCTTTTATCTCTTACAAGAGATAAAAGGTGGTGCAGGCCACACTCCAGGGAAGCTCCCTTTACGCTGGATCAGGGATGTGACCTGGGTTAGGGTGGTGTTACAATCCCACCCTAATCCTCTTTAATGTAAAATTACAATCACAAAATGGAGGACAACCACGCAACACTGGGAATCATGGCCTAGCCAAACTGATAGACACATTTTTGGGGGGACATAATTCAAACCATGACAGACGGTTTCCAGGGATGGGAGGGGGAAAGAAGGGGAGTCACCTTCTAGATAGTAGATACTTGTTATTTTTGGTGACGGGAAAGGCAATGCCCAACATGGGTGAAGTCTGCACAATTTGACCAAGGCATATGAAGACTCTAAGAAGTACACAAGAATAAGGGATAATTTTGGTAAATGCTATAACATATACAATTTTGCAACAATAGCAATAACAACCAAAAAATATAAGTGTGGTTACATAGGTATAAATGTATGCACATATGTGTATAGAAAGACATAAGTGAGTACATGTGTGCATTTATCGGTGTATTTGTAGACATATGTATATACATGTTTGAGTGTGCTGCACAGTTATGGAGACTTCCTAGACATGCCCAAACACCTCGCAGGATTGGTTTATGGGTTAAAAGGCTTAGGACCATAGTCTCTTGGGACAACTCAGTCAACTGGTGTAACAGTTCATAAGGATAACATTCTACATCCTAGTTTGGTGAGTAGTGTCTGGGGTCTTAAAAGCTTGCAAGTGGCCATCTAAGATGCAACTATTGGTTGCTACTCATCTGGAGCAAAAGAGAATGAGGAAACCAAAGACTCAAAGAAGAAACTAGTCAACAGGACTAATAGCTCACATGAACCACGGCCTCCTCTAGCCTGCGACCAGAAGAACTAGATGGTTCTTCTGACAAGGGACACAAGAGAAGGTCCCAGATAAAATGAGAGAAAAATGTAGAACAAAATTCAAATTCCTACAAAAGGCCAGACTTACTGGACCGATAGAGACTAAAGGATCCCTTGAGACTATCGCCCTAAGACACCCTTTGAACTTGGAAATGAAGCCACACCCGAGTTCACTTTTCAGTAAAATAATAGATTGGCTTATAAAATAAACTATCACTTGTGAGTAATGTGCTCCCTTAAACAATCAACTATTTGAGACCAAACGGTCAACATTAACCCAAAGGCAAAGATGAGATGGCAAGGAGGGGCAGGGAAGCTAGATCAATGGAAAAAGAACAAACAGAAAGGAAATAATGCAAATGTTGACACATTGTGAAAATTGTAACCAATGTCATGGAACAATTTGTATAAAAATGCAGATAGGTGAGTAGATGTGGTCAGGGAGACGTGTCAGTTGGATCCTCTAGGAAGCAGATTGCAAAACAGAGTTAGAAACGTAGAAGTTTATTGGGGGTAATACTTGGGAAATATAAAGGGTAGGGGGAGCAGGAATAGGCAGGAAAGCCTGACACCAGTGAAGGGAGAGGGAGAAGGAAGCAGAGCTGGGTAGGAAGAGCTGCAGACTGCAGTGCAGCTCTGAGAAAGTCTTGCCAGCCCAATGGAGCTACAGTGGAAAGATTGCCTATAGAAGGAGTCCCATTTTGGAAATGGCTGGGCCCTTGTACCACCCCCTCCCTCATCCCCCCCGCCCCATGCTCAGTCATTGGCCGAGGACTTCTTGGGAACAGCATAGCCTGGGTACAAATGCTGCGGTGGATACCCAGTACTGCAGCTGCAGACTGTCAGCTCACTGCCCTTCTTACAACTGACTGATAAGTTCTTCTTCAAAGGAGATCTGAGTGACAAACCTCCATGGCTGCCACAGAGTGTATGAGAATTTTCTTTTAATTGTGAAATAGGAAATAAAGCCAACAACTTAGAGTGAGATTGGAAAAAATGTGTTGGCTGTTTGAGGAGAGAGAAGTGGTGAGAAATAGTTATCCAAGAAGAAGGAAAGTGAATCAAGCACAGAAATATCGTAAACTCACCAGCTAGTACCAAGGGCTCACTTGAGTTCAGTCACCATGAGTTTAAAATGAGACCAATCAGTCTGGTTGTATGCTTTCGTCTAACCTTTTTTTTTTTTTTTTCCTCGTGTGCAGGCATGGAAAGTTGAACTTAATCAGGGTCGGGTGTTTGTCCAACTAAGGGAGTTGAGAGTGTTTGCAAGGGAGTGATTATAATGATAAACAATGGAATCTAAGCTGGACAAGGAGAAAATGAGGACACAAGTTGGTTGTGGAATAATGAAAAGGTTGAAAGGATTGTAAGTCCTGGTGGAGTTGTGGAGTTGGTGGAGGTGGTAGTCTTTGCTTACCTTTTGCAAGAGCAGTTTTGTTGAAGGATGGATGGTGGAAGTAGGCTGCAGTGAGTACAGGAATGAGAGGGAAGTAAAGAAGTAGAGACATGAATTGTAGCCAGTACTTTCTAGGCAAAAGAAGATGAAGTTCTGATTGAAGCAGAGATTTTTTTTTTTTTTCTTCTTCTCCAATCTTGTGGGAAATACAACAAAATGCCAAGCATTTGCTTCCAGCCAGGATACTAGAAGGGGCCCAACCTACAGGACATGCAGGTCTTCAATCTAACTTTGTCCCCTAGGACGGAGTAAAAGACCACTTAGCCCAGATGCTATAGATGGGGATGGAAGCCTAAAGGAGCTTGGACTAAATTCCCTTTCTTTCATAGCCTTTTGAATAGAAAAGTCTGTGAATATGGCTTTGAGGATCAAATTCTAGACCTGGATTAACACATTAAAGAACACAGAGAAGGAGTCCTGTTTCTGACTTAATGCAGATATGTGCTGGTCACAGTTTAAAAGCAAATTCAAAGGGCTCCGTAAAGATTGTGTTACTCTGATATTGTAGAAGGAGGGCCAGACTCAGCCAGAAAACCTGGTTTCTAATCTTAGCTCCGCCACTCACTAGCTATATTGCTTGGGCGAATCACTTAATCAGCCTCAGATCTCTCATCTCCGAAGTGGGACTAGTAACACTTGCCTCATTACATTGTTGGGAGGAATAAAAATGTGTGTCGAATGTCTAGCACTGTGCTTAGCAATGCAGTAGATATTCAATAAATGTTCATTGAATCTGAACCAATTTTATTTACGAACTAATTACATACACACGCTTCTCTCCACCCCACCCACATCAAAAATACGTATATAAATAAATACCATCCCAGAACTCCTTATTAGTGTGGCAAGATGCTAGATATTTCTACAGTGGGTCGATTTTGTTCATACCATCTGTAAATTATTTTACAATTTCATATTCTAAACAGGACTTAGAGAAGCAATGGAGAGAACTGTATGAAGAAATGGAGAAAAGAAAACAGGAAGACGAGGCTGAGAAAAAAAAGGAAATGGAGGAGGAAGGGGAAGATGAGATCTGGGGAATCGAAGAACAGGGAGTGAAGAGGATACTGCTGAAGAGCTGGGAAATGACAGGCCGATGAAGGAAGATGATGCTGAAAGAGCATTCTTGGCTAAACATGACTGTCGGGTTGACCAGAAGAATGAACCGTAACTAGACGGAAACGTGGTTACACTCAGAGACAAATAATGTTGCTTAAAACGAGAAATGTTCGTGAGTTTGGCAAAACCTAGGGGAGCAAAATTACCTGTTTTTCAAGGCTTTGAACATCTCCACCCCAGATATACTGAATCAGAAGCTACCGTTTAACAAGATCTCCAGGTGACTCTTACGCATAATAAATTTTGAGAACCACTGCTCTACTAGTGGTTCTCAGAACTAGTCCCTAAAATCAGCAGCATTAGGAAGCCTGGGAACTTGTTACAAATGCAAGTTCTCAGTAGGGGGTTTGAATCAGAACAAACAGGTTCAAAGCCCTGAGTTTTTTTTTTTTTTTTTAATGAGCTTTGAATTTCTATTTCTGCCCCACCTCCTTTGCTCTGTGCAGCCTTGGGAAAGCCACATCACCTCTTCTACTTCCTTGGTGAAAAACTGAAAAAAAAAATACAACCCAAACCTATTGCCACGGAGTCGATCCCAACTCACAGAGACCTGTAGGACAGAGAAAACTGCCTCATAGAGCTTCCAACGAGCGGCTGGTGGATTCAAACTGCCAACCTTTTGGTTAGCAGCCGAGCTCTTAACCACTGTGCCACCAGGGCTCCTCCTTAGTCAAAAGGGAGTGATAATTCCTATTCATGATGTTTTTGTGGGATTAACTGAGCTAATACATGTAAAGTGGCTGATACATAACATATAGTCAACGAATGGTAGCTATTACTACTATCATTATCATAGTGTTTATGAAATTGTTGGTGAATAGGCATCTGTATAAACTTGATCCTTACTTTCAATTTATCTCTGGGCACCCAGAGATTTTATTTTGTTTAAATGTCTGTATTACTGTTTACTGAGCAATGCTGGTGGATGTACTTGTGGCCAATGTTTTTGCCTTGCAGATGTGTCAAGCACTTAAATACAAAACCAGACTTTGCCTTAATATGAAGAAACGTAATTTGTGAAAATCCTTTTGCTTCTCTGCTGTTTCGTACCCTATCTAATTTTTAAATAATTGTCACTCTTTTGCAAGTTAGCTGGTCTTATATTAACATTTCTGTACCACCTGGTCACAACATCCTTGTGATATGCATTCACATAGCTCTTTACAAATTACAAAGCACTTTCCCATAATTTTTGTGGAGTTCCTAGGATGTGCTTAGTAGCCCTGGTGACACAATGGTTAAAGCACTCAGCTGGTAACTGAAAGGTGGGTGGTTCGACCCACCAGCAGCTCCACAGGAGAAAAGACCTGGCAATCTGCTCCCTGTAAAGATTAAACCAAAACCAAACCCATCACCATCGAGTTGATTCTGACTCATAGTGACCCTGTATAGGGTTTCCAAGGCTGCATATCTTTAGGAAGCAGACTGCCACATTTTCTCCCATGGAACAGCTCTGACCTTTTGGTTGGCAGCTGAGCACTTAACCACTGTGCCACCAGGGCTCCTTCAGTAAAAATTACAACCTAGGAAACCCTATGGGGCAGTTCTACTCTGCCATATAGGGTCTATATGAGTTGGAATCCACTCAAGGGCACACAACAGCAACATCAACAATGCGCTCATTTAATCCTCGTAGCAGCCATTATAGAAGATGCCATTATTATCTTCATTTTATAGATGAAGAAACTGCTCAAAGCAGACAAGTCCCTTGCTCAGGGTCAAATAGCTAGTAAGGGGCAGGGCCGGTATTTGAACTCAAGTTTGTCTGGTTCCAAAGCTTATCCTTCTACCACACAAGGCTGTTGAATAAGTGAGTGAATATCTATTGTTCTTGAATACAGGGAAGGTTTCATGAAGGAAGACTTTCGAGCCAGATCTTGAAGGATACTAAAGACTCTGATGGAGAAGGGAATATGTGGACCATATTTCATAGTCAAAGAACAATGGGGCACCTGGATAACAGGAAGTGGGGCAGTGACATCAGGGTTCCTAATTCTTTCCTTCCTATTAGCTGGTGTCTGGTATAGTTTCTGGGCCTTACAATCACTAGAATGTTCTGGTATGGGAAACTTGCTTTTATACCTGTTTCTGTAGCGTGAGAGTCTTCCCACTATGAAAAAGCGTAAGGATTCAAAATGCTGAGTCTGAACATTTTGTTTTGGGCCTGGAGGGCTGGTGTATGGGATGACCTATATTTTAGGGATTTGATAGGAGTCTGATATGAGCATCGTTTACCACCAATGTCTACTCTGATTGGTAAGGCCTGTGCTCTACCAGTTGTTACATATTTTCAGTATCACCAGATAAAAACACTGATTTTCACACAAAATTTTGGGGGAGAATTAAGCAATAAGGATCTATTTGAATATATTTTTTATTAAAGCTAACGTTTTTACTTTTATTAAGTTTTCTTTCACCTTTTATTTTAATTCATTGTGCAAACACTATTCCAGAAATTAAGGTAATTTACAAAAGAAAAATACATGCAGAATTCCATCCATTCTACACATAGACTTTCACATTTTTTTGTTCCTTTCCAGAACTTATCCTTTGAATACCACCATTTTGCCCTGAACCATACTCTTCCAGGGAATTTTTTAAAATTCTGATTATATTTTTAATTTACATAAGTAACGTGTTCAGTGAAAAAATTTGCAGTCTACAAGTGTATGAAGAAAATAAAAATTACTCATAATCCCAAAAACCAGAGACAATCATGCAATATTTATTGCATTTCCTTCTAGTTCTGTGTTTGTTTGTTGATTGGTAGGTTTAAGCTTGGGTGCAGAGGGTTTAGTTAACCACATCCTTAGTACATGGCATTTTATCGTCTTCGGCCAGTGACGATGTCACTTTAAAATTTGTCTATTTATTTTTTCCCTTTTATTCCCTTTCCTGTCCTCATATAGGCAAACTAAGTTCTATTTAACATACAACTTTTTGTTTGTATGTCTTCAAAAATTGTTAACTTTCGTGTGAATGTATTTTTAATTTATGGAAATGGTATTGTGTTTAAATCTTATTTTGTTTCTTCATATTTTTCACTGAGCATTATTTTAAAATGCATTCATGTTGCTGTATCTATATCTAATTGATTGCTTCCAACTGCTGCATAAGACTTTACGATGTTACATCTATCACATTTAGCTGTCTATTCTCCCAGCAATAGACAGCCAGGTTGCCTCCAACTACCTGACACCATAAATAACAATGCAATGAATATGTTTATGCACAGTCCCTTATGTGCCTGCATAAGAAGTTATTTGGGATATATCCCAGGAGTGGAACTGTGGGGTCCTAGAGTGTGTGAGCTCTTAATTTGCATAATTTATGGCAGTTTGCTCTCTGCACTGGCTATATAGTCCATACCAGCAAGACATGAGGATTCCAGCAGGCCCCACAGCCCCACCAGCTCTTGGCATTTCAAGCATTCAAATTTTTATAGTTTGATAGATGTAAACAGATAGCATATTGCTATTTTAATTAACATTTCTCTGATGATTTTGAGCATCTCTTCATATGTCTTTTGATTTTGGGTTTTCCTCTCTGTTCATGTCTTTTGCTTATTTTCTTCTAGAGTTGCTTCCCTCTTATTTACTTGCAAGAGTTTTGTGTATTAGGTATTTCAAATATCTTTTCCCATTCTCTCATCTCCCATTGATGGCATCCTTTGTTGAGTAGAAATCCTTAATTTTGATGTAATTATACTCATCAATTTTTTATCTTACAATTTGTGCTTTTGAAGTTTTGTCTTTCCCTTATTCTCAGTCACAAATTACTGTTATTGTCTATTATATTTTTTATAGTGGCTTTATGGTTTTACTTTCATATTTATTATATTTTGAATCCTTCTAGAGTCCACGCTTGTATAAGGTGTAGAATTTTTGAAAAATGGTAATTATACCATTCAAGCCTTCAATAGCTCTGCTTATTTTCTGTCTGCTTGATATATCAGTTTCTGAAGGGGCGGTATTAAAATCTTTAGCTATAATTATGCATTTATCTATTTCTCCCTGAAGTTCAGTATATTTTAAGACTGTATTATTACATTCATCTATGTATCTTGACTGTTGCATCTATATGCTTGCCTTTTGTTTCTTTTATGAATATATAATAATTTTCTATCCCTTGTTATCTTTTGAGATTAAAATTCCTCTTTGACAGATGTTAAGATCATGACCCAATTCATATTTGCCTGGTATATCTTTTTTCATCTTTTTATTTTTAATCCTTTCGTCTCTTTATGCTTTAAATATGTCCCTTGCAGTTAATTTGTTATTGGATGGAATTTTTAAAATCCAAGTGGTGTTTGATCTCCGAAGGAAACACAAGGGTAGGAGAAGAGGGAATGGAGGCTGGAAGACCTTAAAACAATATACTGTGTGTCCATTTCTTCTTTTATATGAAATAAACTTATTTGAGCGTTAGTTTCTTCATCTGTGAAATGGAAGTGACAATACCTATCTTAAAGTGGTGATCTGAAGAGCAAATTAGGTAACAGATATGAATGTCCCTAGTGAATCAAAAAGTGCTGTGCAAACATTAGTTACTATTCTCACTCTTGCATTCATCATGTGCTTTTACTGTCTTCTGGTTAGATGCTGATTTTTATCTGAACTGCTACAGGGGAAGTACCCCCCCCCCCAAATTGTGCTGGTGCCTGTAGAATTGATTTCCCTTTCTTTGTAATAATGAATGGACAAAATATCAAGATCATGTTTGACTTGGGAGGCAGTTTCCACCCAAAGAGTTCTAAAGTGGTAGGGCAGAGCAACTCACTGGTAGAGCTGCCAGACTGCATACACCCGAAATCTTGGTGCAATGGTGCTAAACTGGGCTCCAGTCACTTCTCTACTTTGAACTAGATGTGTGACCTTAGCCAAGTCACTTAAATTCTGTGACTATCAGTGTCTTTGTCTGTAAAGTGAAGTTCAAAATAAGACTACCTCTTAGGGTTGCAGAGCCCTGGTGGCTCAGCGGTTAAGAGGTCGGCTGCTAACCAAAAGGCCGGCAATTCAAATCCACCAGCCCCTCCTTGGAAACCCTATGGGACAGTTCTACTCTGTCCTGTAGGGTCGCTATGAGTCGGAATCAACTCATTGGCACCTAACAACAGCAACACATTGTGGCTAGGTGAGTGTAGGTTCTTTTTCATCTCTGAAGCACATAGAATTGCCTTGTTTCCTTGGAGGATGGCTGTTGTCCCCTTCAAGGCCCTATGTCTTCAGAATTTGGGCAAGGAATACTAGCCAGCAGGATAGAGCCTCATAAAAGAGATTCTGTTGGTAATTCAGCTTGTACTCACGTATGAAGAATTTAGATTCAGACTAAACTGAAAGATACTGGGTGCCTGCTATGTTTTCTGGAATAGGTTCTTCTACCACACGATTGCTCATAAGCCTGTAATAACACCGTTCATTAAGTACTGACATCCCCATTTTACCAATAAGGAAGTGGAAGGTCACATAAATTAACTTGGCCAAGGTGACAAAGCTGATAAGGAGAGGGGAGACAGTCTAATGTAACACAAGGAGGAATGGGCTTTGGAACAGGCACTGCCATTTACTAGATCTTTAGTCCAGGGACGAAAATCTCTTAAATCTCAGTGTCTTTATCTGTAGAGTGGGGATTATAGCAGTACTTATCTCACACGAATGTTATGAAGTTGAACTGAGAGAGTATATTTAAAGCAGAGTGCCTGGCACATGGGAGGTGCTTAATAAATGCTTAGGTACTTGATAAGTGTACTGGGAGCCCAGAGCCCATAGACCCCATCTGTGCTGATGCCTTGTAGGAAACATCAATCATCATTAAGCTCCTTTAGAACTTTTCACTGGACATTCAAATGGTTGGCCTTACAAAACCCTTGGGCTGTGATTCAAGATGACAGTCCCAGAAAGGAAATGAGGCAGCAAGATACAATGAAAACAGCCTAGACGTGGGAGTCTGTTGACCTGGAATCGAATGCTGACTCTTATTTAGTGTGTGCAGGACCTTTGGCAAGGCACTTTACATCTTTGAGCTCCAGTTTCCTTGTTTGTAAAATGGAGGTGATATTCTTAACCCACAGAGTTGCTAGAGGTACAAATACGGATGGATGCAAATGCTCTTTCTACAGTTTTAGAAACGCCGTATAAATATGAGAGGTTTCAATTTGTGTTTACTGTTCTCCTAGGAAGGGAACTAAACAATGATAATGCGAGGCCTGCCTCCTAGAGAGCAACTGCTTCTCAGTGGGGGAGCCAGGCCGAAGTAATTATTTGGCACCACTGCAGCTGCAACAGCAACCTGTGCTCAAATATCAATCACCATCCCCGCTAAAAGGCAGCGCTGTGCAGACCACCCCCACTCACACCCTGCCCCAACACAGCTGTTTGGATCAGAAGTGATAATCTGACCCAAAGGCAAGCAATCTATGCGCTTGTCAATGATCTACAAATGTGGCCTGGGCCTGGCCCATGATTTGGACAGATCATTACTACTTCCTCAGGAATCTGAATTGGGAAACATGAGGTGATCCAGGCAACTAGCAGCAAGAACTGTAAGATGTAAAGAGAGAGGCCATGAGGCTGAGTGGGATTATGTGTGGGAGGAGATAGAGGCTGGACTGTGACAAACCAAAGTTCTAAGGAAGCAAAAATTATGAGTAAGCAGAAGCTATGAGGTAGAAAAAGATATCTATGTTTATTCAACAATATTTCTAGAGTTCCTTCTATGTACTGGGCACTGTGTTAGGCTCTGAATATGCAAACACGGCTAAGGCAAAGCCTCTGCCTTCTTAGCACTTAATTTAAGTGGGGGAAGAGAGACAAAGCAAGTAAACAAATAATTATAAATTGTTTTAAGGGCTAAGGAGAAAAATATGGGGCTGAGATCAAACATAATAATACGAGACCTACTTGAATAGAAAAGTGAGGGAATGTCTCTCTGAACACCTAACAATTAAAATGAGACCTGAAGAGTGAGAAGGAGCCAGTCATGCAAAGATCAGGGAGAAGAATGTTTGCGTCAGAGAATGTGTAACCACCTGCCTCCATGAAGAAACTTGAAAAAAAAAAAAAGCCATCTGACTGGAACAAAGTGAAGGAAAGGGAAGCAGCATGAGATGAAATTTGGAGGGATAGGGAGGAGGCATATCACACAGGACCCTGCAGTCCTTGATAAGGAATTAGAATTTTAGTTCCATTGTAGAGAGAAGCCATCATAGTGTTTGAAGCTAGGTGGTAGTTCGGCGGTAGAATTCATGCCCTCCATGCAGAAGACCAGGGTTCGATTTGCGGCCAATGCACCTCATGCGCAGCCACTACTCATCTGTCAGTGGAAGCTCGTGTTGCTATGACGCTGAACAGGTTTTAACAGAGCTTCCAGACTAAGACAGTCTAGAAGAAAGGCCTGGTGATCTACTTCTGAAAATCAGCCAATGAAAACCCTATAGCTTACAACAGTCCTACCCCCATCCCATCATGGGAAGAGTGCAGGGCTGGGCAGTGTTTCATTTTGTTGTGCATGGGGGCCAACACAACAGCAGCTATCAACAAGTGACACAATCCAGTATAGTGTGGTAGGTAAGTTTGAAGGTGGAAGAGTCAGTGTGTCCAAACCTAAGTTCTACCATTTACCAACTGTGTGATCTTAGGCAGATTACTTAATATCTCTGTGCCCCAGTTTCCCTATCTATAAAATTGAGATAGAATTAGGTCTTACCTTGCAGAGTTGTGAAGATTTAAATATATGTGAAGTGCTTAGAGCAGTTCTTATTACATAATAAATATCCAATAAATGTAAGTCCTTATTATTATTTTATTTTTAAAAGGTCCCTATGGCTACTGTATTGAGAATGACTGTGGAGGGTAAGGAGGAGAAGGTAACAAATGAATGAGGGGAGGCCAGTTACGAGACTGATTAGTAGTCTGGATGAGAGATGATGAGACTTGATGAGTGAAGTGGTGGTGGTCGTGGAGACAAAGAGAAGCGGACAAACTTTTTATTTTTAATTTTTCTCCCATACAAATATTTATACATACATTGTTATGTGACTCTAATTGCTCTCCCCATACTGTGACAGCACACTCTTCCTTCCCACCCCTGATTCTCCATGTCCATTCAACCAGCTCCTAACCCTCTCTGCCTTCCCATCTCACCTCCAGACAGAAGCTGCCCATTTAGTCTCTTGTATCTACTTGAGCTAAGAGGTACACTCCTCACGAGTATCAGTTTATGTCCCACAGTCCAGTCCAATCCCTGTCGGAAAAGTTGGCCTCAGAAATTTTTAGTTCTGGGCTGATAGAGAATCCAGGGGCCATGCTTTCCGGGGTTCCTCCAGTCTCAGTCAGACCATTAAGTCTGGTCTTCTTACCAGAATTTGAGTTCTGCACCCCGCCTTTCTCCTGCTCCATCTGGGACTCTCTGTTGTGTTCCCTGTCAGGGTGGTCATTGGTGCTAGCCAGGCACCATCTAGTTCTTCTGGTCTCAGGCTAATGAAGTCTCTGGTTTATGTGGCCCTTTCTATCTCTTGGGCTAATACTTTCCTTGTGTCTTTGGTGGAGAAGTGGACAAATTTGAAATACTTTTGGAAGTAAAATGTTCATATCTTGCAGGTAGATTGGACATTGTGGGTGAAGAAAATGGAAGAATCAAGAACTTGTAGGTTTCTGGCTTGAGCAATCAGGTGGATGGAAGTGACATTTACTGAGAAGAAAGAGCCTGGGGGAAGGAAGATTGGCAGGGAAATTAGGAGTTCTATTTTAGGCATGTTAAATTTGAGATACCCATGAAATATTTAAGTGGATGTCAACTGGGCAGTTGGTTACAGGCAGTCCCCGGGTTACAAATGAGATCCTTTCCTAACTGTGTTTTTAAGTCTTTAAGTCAAATTTGTAGGTTAGTCGGAACAGGTGCATATGGTTCTTATTTAGCCTTACTTTAGTGCAAGAAAAGACTCGAAGACTTTTCAATGATTTAAAAGCTGCATGTGCAGCAAGTGAAGGTGATTGTGATGAAGAATTTTTTGGGAATAAGGGTTGGTTCAATCATTTGAAAGTGAGGGCAAATTTATGAAACATTAAAGGGCAAGTACAAGTTGTTTGCAAGTGGAACATTTGCAACCTGAAGATTTCCTGTACTGTTGTTATTACTCTTGGTGCACATAATTTGTGATATACGAATTCTATCTCCCTGTCAGACTGCTGCCTAGAGTTACCTGAAACATAAAAATCCTCCAAAATGAATTTATCTCTTGTCCATAAGTCAGATGTTCATAACCTGGGGACTGTCTGTATAAGTTCAGAGACCGAAAGAGAGGGCTGGGACAAAGATATGAATTTGGAAATCATTAGCATAATAAAAAATTGAAGACACAGAAATAGTTGAGATAATCTGGGAAGAGAGTATATAGAGAGAATTGAAGGAGCCAAGAAGATCCCCAAGGAGCACCAAATTTTAGGATGGTTGCATAGACAAGGAGAATGATGAGAGGCCTGTGAAGAAAAAGTAAAACCAGAAGAGTGTAGTATCACAAAACCCAAAAGAGGAGAATGTTTCAAGAAAGTTGGAGAGGACAGCTGAGTCTAAAGTTGTGAAATGGTCAAATAAAATAAGGATAGAAAAATGTTGATCCCTGACTTTGACAAGAGTAGTTTTAGTGAGGTGGGAGGCCTAAGCAAGAGTCAAGTGGGTGAAGAATGAAATGGAGGTGTGCTAGCTCTGACAGCACATATACTAAAATTGGAACAATACAGATAAAATTGGCATGACTCCCATGTAAACATGACACATAAATTTGGGAATGATTCCACATACATCTTGTATGGTTTTGACTTTTAGGACAATGTTAACTTTTATATATTCAGAAAGAAAATTAAATCAAAAAGAATGGAAAGGGATCCTAAAATTGACTGTAAGCAGCAACAAATGAACCTAACTTTATTTCAGTAAGTAATATAAACACTCTGAAGGGAAAAAAAAAAAAAATCTAATCCAAGTAACTTTTGAGCACAGTACTTTGACTACATATCCTTGCCCTAAAAACAAAACAAAACTAAAGACCACAAACAAATCTTGAACCCTATTTAGCAGGTCGTTTTTGGTGGTGGAATGGATATAGCAATTCTGAAACTATTTTGTAGTTTCATAACATTGAGTAAATGAATAAATACATTGATGTTGTTGGGAGCCAGGTTCTCACTTTGGGAGAAGGGAGATGCAAATGAGGAATGGTAGAAAGAACGCTGTGGTACTGATTTGGAATGAGAGGTATCAGTTATGAACTGATGATTAAAAACAGTTGAACTATATCCAATTGTCATTTTTTTTCTCCTCAGCTGTGTTCACTAAAAGGACCTAGAAGCAATTACACCCCAGTATAGCAATGAGAGAGCCCTGGGGCACAGTGGTTAAGAGCTCGGCTGCTAACCAAAAGGTCAGCGGTTCGAATCTACCAGCTGCTCCTTGGAAACCCTGTGGGGCATTTCTACTCTGTCCTATAGGGTCATGATGAGTTGGAATCGATCTGATGGCAACTTGTTTTTTTTTTTTTTTTAATAGCAATGAGCACATCTGGTGCCAGATGTTGCTTTCTAAATACCATTCCCGCTAAAAGAGAAATGGCTGATTCCAGGGCTGGGCAGGGAAAGTTCAAGATGAGCCTAGAATAGTTTATTACACCAGAAAGCAAGGAAGTGCTAAAAATAAAAATAAAAAAAGATGAGGATGCATCAAAGGGACATAGACATAAATGGAAAACAAACCATAACTAACAATGCACAAACAACAGAAGATAAACTAGATAACTGGGAATTCCTAAAAATTAAACACGTATGCTTATTAAAATACTTCACCAAAAGAATAAAAAGAGAAGCTACAGACTGGGAAAAAAAATTTGGCTACAACATATCCGACAAGGGCCTAATCTCTAAAATCTATAAAACACTTCAGCACTTCAACAACAAAAAGACAAATAATCCAATTTAAAAACAGGCAAAGGATATGAACAAACACTTCACCAAAGAAGACATCGGGCGGCTAACAGACACATGAGGAAATGCTCACAATCATTAGCCATTAGAGAAATGCAAATCAAAACTACAATGAGATATCATCTCTCATCCTGACATTACTGGCACTAATCAAAAAAAAACAAAAACAAAAGAGGAAATAACAAATACTGGAGAGGCTGCAGGGAGATTGGAACTTTTATGCACTGCTGGTGGGAATGTAAAACAGTACAACTACTATGGAAAACAATACGGCGCCTCCTTAAAAAGCTAGAAATAGAAATACCACATGATCCAGCAATCTCACTCCTAGGGGTATATCCTACAGAATTAACAGCCATCACATGAATAGACATATGCACACCCATGTTCATTGCAGCATTATTCACAATAGCAAAAAGATGGAAACAACCTAAGTGCCTGTCAATAGATGGCTGGATAAACAAATTATGGCACATACACACAATGGAATACTATGCAATGATAAAGAACAATGATGAATCCATGAAACATCTCACAAGATGAATGAATCTGGAGGGCATTATGCTGAGTGAAAAAAGTCAGTCACAAAAGGACAAATATCGTATGAGACCACTATTATAAAAACTCAAGAAAAGGTTTACCCACAGGTAAAAACAATCTTTGATAATTACGAGGTAGGGAAAGAGAAGGAAGAGGAAATCACTAACTAGATAGTAGATAAGTGTTAACTTTGGTGAAGGGAAAGACAACACACAATACAGAGGAAGTCAGCACAACTTGACCAAGGCAAAGTCATAGAAGCTTCCTATACACATCCAAACACCTTGAGGGACTGAGTTGCTGGGACTGAGGGCTGGAGACCATGGTTTGGGGGGACATCTAGGCCAATTGGCATAATATAGTTCATAAAGGAAATATTCTACATCCTACTTTGGTGAGTAGCATCTGGGATCTTAAAAGCTTGCAAATGTCCATCTAAGATACATCTATTGGTCCCATCCCAACAGGAGCAAAGGAGAATGAAACAAACCAAAGATATAAGGAAATATTAGTCCAAAGGGACTAATGGACCACATGAATCACAGCCTCCACCAGCCTGAGCCCTGAAGAACTAGATGGTACCCGGCTACCACCACCAACAGCTCTGACAAGGATCACAGTAGAGGGTCCTGGACAGAGTGGGAGAAAAATGTAGAACAAAAATTCAAATTTACAAAAAAAAGACCAGACTTACTGGTTGGACTGAGACTGCAAGAACCCCCGAGACTATGGCCCCTGGATACCCTTTTAACTCAGAACTGAAGCCACTCCTGAAGTTCACCCTTCAGTCAAAGATTGGACAAGTCCTATAAAACAAGCAATAACACACATGAAGAATGTGCTTCTTAGTTCAGTCATGTATAAGAGACCAAATGGGCAACACCTGCCCAAAAGTAGCGATGAGAAGGCAGGAAGGGACAGGAAAAATGGATGAATGGAAACAGGGAACCTAGGGTGGGGAAGAGTGTTGACACATTGTGGGGATTGCAACCAGTGTCATAAAACAATTTGTGTCTGAATTGTTGAATGAGAAACTAATTCGTTCTGTTAACTTTCACCTAAAGCACAATTAAAAAAAAAAAAATTGAGAGTAAAATAAATAGAAGTGGTGAGGGGGGAAAAAACAGAGAAGCAAAATCTCTTGCTTACAGTAGAATGCTAACTAAAAAATGTATAAGGAACAATAGAGGTAGAAAATCACCATTTTGCAACAGTTATAGTAATAATTGATTCAGTCAAGAATCATTAATGTATGTTGAAACCATTGGGCAAAAGTTTGAAGAGGAACAGGATATTTACATAGTCTCAGAGTAACTTCTTACAGATTACTTATTACTTACATAGGAAAAAACGCTAACTTTACAGTGAAGAAACCCGGCAGATACCACCTTAACCAACTGATCAAAATGAACACCACCAATAATGGGACCAAGGGACATCGTATATCTCTTTGTATGATGTATTGAGAAGGACACACCATCACATATGTAGTATTCCTAACCTCCTTCAAAAAAAATGTAAATGTAATAATGAGAAAGACTCAGACAAACTCAAATCAGGGGAAATTCTACAAAACACCTGACCTATACTCTTCAAAAACGTGAACGTCATGAATAACAATGAAAAACTGGGGAACTGTTCTAGATAAAGTCAACTAAAAAGTCATGACAGTTAAATGCAATGCATGATCCTATATCAAACACTGGGTCAGACCCTGCCTGGATGGTGGGGAGGTGGGGAGGGCTGCTATAGAGGACATTATTGGGCCAATTGGTGAGCTTTGACTATGAACTATCTATAAAATACTAGAATTACATCAATGTTAAATTTCCTGATTTTAATCATCATACTAGGTGGGTATGTGGGTATATAAGAGAATATCTTTGTTCTTAGAAAATACACACTGAAGTATTTAGAGGTAAAAAAGGGGCATGATATCTGCAATTCAAGTGTTTCAGGAAAAAACACACACATCCATATGTATGCCTACAACACACAGATAAAACAAACATGGCAAAGTATTAACTTCTGGTGCATCTGAGTGAAGGGTATGTGGGAGTTCTTTGTAATATTCTTGCAACTCTTTTGAAAGTTTGAAATTATTTCAAGATAAAGGCTTAAAAGCCAATTGGAGGTGAGGAAGTAGAAACAATAATGTAGATAACTCTTTTTGATAGATTTGACTGTGAGGGGAGCAGAAAAATGAGGCTAGAGAAACATTTGGTGTCAAAAATAGCTCTTAAAGGTAAGAGGACAAAGATCAGATTTGTATGTTAATGAGAGCCATAGTGGTAGAGGTGATGGTGTTATTGACGAGGCAGGAGACAGAGGGGAAAACCAAAGGATCAAAGCCTAGAGAAGGCAAGAGAGACTGTGTGATTCAGAACACAACTGGAACATGGTTAATTCAAGCCAGTTGCTGTCAAGTCATTTCCAACTCACAGCAACCCCATGTGTTGCAGAGTAGAACTGCATTCCACAGGATTTTCAAGGCTGTGACTTTCAGAAGCTGATTACCAGGCCTTTCTTCCAAGCCACCTCTGGGTGGGCTCTAACTGCCAATCTTTTTGGTTAGTAGTAGAGTGCTTAAGCATTTGCATCACCCAGGGACTCCTAGAGATCTACTTCTAAAAAATCAGCCATTGAAAACTCTATGGAACACTCCCCCCGCCAAGATGATGATGTTAGCAGAAAACATTATGGAGCATAGTGCTACTCTGACCCACATGAAGTCACTATAAATCAGAATTGACTCAACGGCAACTGGAACATGGCTAGAGCTCAACAAATAGGAGCTGATATTCACAGTGGATGTGTAGTGAGTTCTGGAAACATATGGCAGAGGAATAGGAGTCATGGTACTGCAGTGGTTAAAGAGCTCAGCTATAACCTAAAGGTCAGTGATTCTAATCCACCAGCTGCTCTACAGGAGAAAAGACCTGGCGATCTGTCCCTTAAAGATTACAGCCCCTAAGGATGTCTTGGAAGATAAGGATACTGTCTCCCTCTGGAGCAAAGGACAAGTTTGTTTACTGTCAAGTATAATAAAAATAATATCTTCTACTCAAGAAAAGGTTTAAACACAGGAGAAAACATTTTTTAATGGTTACAAGGGTGGGGAGGGAGGGTGAGGGTTATTCCCTAACTAGATGGTGGACAAGAATTATCTTAGGTGAAGGGAAGGACAGCACACACTACAGAGGAAGTCAGCACAACTGGACTAAACCAAAGCTAAGAAGTTTCCTGAATACAATCAAACACTTTGAGGGACAGAGTAGCATGGGTAG